CATATCAAGCAGAGTTGTGAAAAATGCATTAAATTTTTTAATGCATATCAGTTTAATGTAAATGAAAAAGATGAATGCATTAATTTTTGATATTTAATGTAAATGAAAATTTCAATGCATTAATTCCGAAGAAATGATGCTAATGATTTTTTTTATTAACATTAAAATTATAACAAGCATTAAAAACCCATTAACTAATATTATTTTGAAGTAAAAATTCTTTGCTGACGTTGAGGGTAGAATTTTGAGGTCAAAAAAGATAGTGACGGACGTTAAGGCTGGTTTTCACTATGTCAAGTTCAAGGTTTATTGATTGATTTAGATCAGAGTAGGTCCTCAGTCGTTTACATGCGCTGCCAAACTGGCTATCTGTCCGTTTTTAACTCATACTTAATATATGTAATCGGTATGCATCAACAATCAACATAAAAGTCCACAAAAGCACTCTGCATTGCATGCACATTAGCTTTTATTTTCATAAAACATCTAACAATATTTAGAAGAATTTTTTTACAAATACACATAATATAATGAAGCTGAAAAAACTATTAGTAATTATTCCAAGTCCTTCCAAAAGAGGTTATTTATATTTTACTAGAAAAAAAATTTAATGGGTTTTAATAGTGCAAACGAGGAAAAGTATTAAACATTTTAGTGCATTAAAATTTTTTATTAGCATTAGCTTGGATAATTTAATGAAAAGAAAATTTCATTAGCATTACATTTTTCAGAATTAATGCATTGAAATATTCATTTGCATTAAATTTCATAAATTAATGCATTAATTTTTTACATTACCATTATTGCTTTAAATACCATTAATGCATTAAAAAATTAATGAATTTTTCACAACTCTGATATCAAGCCCTTTAATTTGATACCTCATTTTTGAAAATCAAACGAATGGTTCAGATCTGATGACCAGGACAAAAAGTCCTTTCGCGTATTATTTATATATATAGATATAAATAAATTCGACTTTTTAAACAGGTGGCAGCCCTTTTGAAAAGTAGTTTCGCGCCAAGATATTCTTAAATATTCTTTGTCTAACATTGTGATACATATTTTAATCAACTGATGAATTAAGTTGAATTATATTAATTAAACATGTGGCAACTCCGCTAAATATAGTTCCGAAATAAAGATTTGTCAACCCCCCTTCGATTGATACCCATATTTTAATAATTAATTTAACTTATTTAATAATTTGAATTTAATTTTTAAACAGGTGGCAACCCTCTTCCAACACGTCAAAAATATTCTGTGCGTTCAAACTAGAGTCTTCTTAATATTCTTTCGTTTCACATAACTATTTTTATATTTCATATAACTTCAGGATAAGTTAATTAAATTCGCCATTGCAAGAAGGTACCAACCCTTTTCAAAATATTTTCAAACGGCCACCTTTTGAAGCCCCTTTCGTTATGCGTTATGTTGAAACATATTTCTCCTAATTAATTTTCTTAATTCAAATTGAATTTAATTTTTTAAACAAGTGGCAACCCTCCTAAAGTTAAGTTTAGAAACAAATATTTTCAACTGATACCCACTGATACCCATTTTGTAATAATTGTTTTTTTTAGAATGAAATTTTTTAAAAGGTGGCAACTCTTTTCAAAAAAGTAAAACCTTATTGCATATCTGCAGTCCAAGAGTTTTCATTTGACACCTTATTTTGGAAAATCAAACGAACGGTGCTGTTATGACGGCATTGCTTATTATATAGTTTATATTCAATTGTTATACTGGTGGCAACTCCTTTCGAAAAAATAAAACCAGTTTGCACATTGCTACAGGCCAAGCGCTTTAATTTGACACCCCATTTTTGAAAATCGAACGAACGGTGCAGATCTTTTATGCGGAACAAAAAATGTCTTCGCGTATTATTTCGATCTTAATTTTTTAAAAGGTGGCAGCTCTTTTCGAAAAAGTAAAGCCTTATTGCCCACCTTAAGTCAGAGCCCTTTGATTTGACACCTCACTTTTGAAAATCGAACGAACGGTGTGGATCTGATGGCGTTGCTTATTAAATTATTTGAATGCAAGTTTTTATCAGGTGGCAACTCTTTTCGAAAACGTAAAAGCTTACTGCACATCTACAGACCAAGCGCTTTAATTTGACATAACATTTTTGAAAATCGGGCGAACGGTACAGATCTTTTATGCTGCACAAAAAATCCCTTCGCGTATTATATATATAGATAGTTGTATTAACATTTACCTTTTAAAAACAATTAATATCTTATCTTAAAAACGTTCAAATTTTACATTAAATTCGATAACTACTTGCCGAAATCTTTATTTTTACATTAATCAAATTGTAGTAAACATATTTTAAAATCTTTGTAGTGCCATTATGTCATCTGATTATTACACAATATAGCTAGCCAGGACTATTACAGTTTTCTTTATCGGATACGGTTGTTTCTGATATAACCCTGCAAAAAATGGGACTAATCCGGGATGACTCCGGGAGCAATCGCAAAGGAGCATGCGACTAATACCACTTTTGATCTCTTTATATGGAATGAACTGATCGCTTTTGTTTGAGCATGTCCTATGAACAGACTAATTGTTCGCCATTATACCCGAAAGGGTATAAAAAGCGACTAGTCACTTTTAAAAAATAAAAATTAAAATTTTCGCCAGCTGAGATTCGAACTGGGGTGCTCAGTTTTGTTACGCAAATACTCTCTCTGTGTGCCAACGCCGCACATGAAATTTCATTGACAAAGAGCGTACATATCATTAAATCGTTAATAGTACCCGTTAGAGATGAATTGGAGACTAATTGATCTCCAATTATACCCACAAGGAATGAGTCGAGACTAATTGACCTCCATTAGTACCCGTATAAGACTAGTTGCGAATAATTAATGCCCAATTGTACCCGATTGAGAGTAATCTCGGAATAGTCTCTTTAGAGATTAGTCGCACAATTTTTTGCAGGGAATTGAGACACTGAAATTACACTGATATTGTCTTTTTCCATGTCTTTCAAGTAATTTGAAAACAAAATTTACTTTAGGACCCATAGGCCTCATGACTCACAGACGTGAGTATTATACAATTCTAGTATATTTCGACAATATTGTTGTTTCTTTGGGTAAAACTAAATATACATATTTTACTGTTCAATATTGGAGGGGGTGTGAAATAAAATTGATTATTCGTTGTTAGTATAAAAGCTAGAAACACCCCTGTAGGGAAACGAACTAGTGCGGAACTGGTTCGGTTCTAGTGCGTTTGGAACCATGACTAGTACGCGTTAATTCTCTTTTGCATGCTAGCGACTGGCGAATTTAACATTGCGATGTCCTAGGATAGGGATGCACAGCAGAGGTGCACGCAGTCGACGTCGCCGGCAAACTGCGAGCACGCGAGTGTGCTAGGCGAGGTGATGTGAGCTGTACGGAAATGGCAACGTATACATATTAACCACTACACACTTATTTTCAAGTAAAAATGCGTGTGTGTATGTGCACTTTTGCGACAACTGAGCCAGTGTGGCATGAGGCCACCAGAAAAAGCCAATTTTTCCAAAACAAAAGCGCCAAGTTTTTATTATCATGTTTAATAATTTTTTTGATGCAGTAAAAAGTGTATATACATAACCATTTCCTCACGTTTTTATTAATAAATTAATTTCAATACATTTATAAAACGCAAAACACATTTAATTTACCTATTCCTCACATTTTATTCAGTAAATAAATTCCATCTTAATGTAGAATATTAGTGTACAGTGTATACATACATACATATGTATCTATGCATTCGGTGTGCTTAAATTAAAAAAGCATCACTAAATAACGCACCAAGCATTGAATTCCAATTATTTTGGCTTTTTGGTTTCCCAAAAGCACTAAATTTAGTGCAAAATGCACGACCTTGGCAACAGTGAGCTGAGCACATCAATGCTCAAACAGTGATGCCAGACCAAGTATTGAGTAAATGCGCTATGTATATTTTTCTTTTAAAGCAAAAGTTCTAATTGGCGAGGGGATTGATTTTTGGTTCTTACATAGAACACTGATAAGATTCACAAACTTATCTTAGGACTTAATTAAAATAATCAACATTATTTTTAGACGAATATATTTGTGTTCGTATGAAACAGTAGCTTATGTCGGGAGGCTGGCTTTAGTAAAATGTACCATTTCCTATATTCTTTAAACCTCAAGGAATTTTTTATGAGACTTTATACGAATATTGACTTGCTAGCATCGCAACTGCCTCCTTTACATTTATTTTCCATGAGTTCTTCAACGACTCGGCGCCAGTGAGTCTTTCGCAATCGTATGCTGCGAATGATTCATTATACTAAAGCCAGTCTTCCGACTTAAGCTACTATTCTATACGAACACAGATATGTATACTTCCTAATAGGCTTGTAAAATGCCCAATACCCAAATCCCTCGCATGAGTTATTATCGGTAAAAAATTGGGTACGCTCAAATCTGGCATCGCTGCAGCAAGTACAGCGCCATTGAAACAGTGTTGATATTTTAAGTACAATTGTACTTTTTTCAGTACAATTAATTTTAAAATGTACAAAAGTACAATTTGCCGATTTTAAGTACAATTTCAACATCAAAAATACTTTTTGTACCAAACGCTCAAATCTCTTCTGGCACTTTGATTCTTAATCCGTTTACATTTAAGTAAATGGATATACCTATATTTCATATTTGCTACAAAACGAAATTATGAATTGTAATTTTGAATGTAAACGTGATTGTGAACAGTAATATTAGTGATGTGTGTTATGGTGGTTGCGATTTCTTATCACCGGCGGGTGAAATATCCCTCATCGCT